TTATTAGGAGCTCCAAAAGGCAAGAAATGGTGGAGAGTCATGATCATTAACATCCTGAAGGGACATGGCATACAGAAGAAGGAAAAGAAGCTTGTATAAATGGTTGGCAGAACAAGGATTAGAAGAAGTAGCAAAATGTCAAACTTTACTAAGAGCCTCAAAGAACATGAAAGGCGACGCGGTGCAACGAAGAAGAAGAAGAAGAAGAAGAAGAAGAAGAAGAAGAAAGACATTGTAGTTTACAATGTACACTAGTTCGATCCCTGTCTCTGCACTGACAGTAAGATGATGGCATTTCTAATTTAACTCCTTTGAACATTTAAAATACAACATTTATTTCAAAAATTTATTCAGTTTAAATAGAGGCGTTATCAAATTGACTTCAAAAGGCCACGTATTTCAGCTTGTATTATTTTCCTGTTACCAGACAGAAAGAGAAATCCCCCCACCACGCAGAAAAGAATTCTGTTTCAATTTCATTCAAATTGTGTGTATGCACGTTTGCGTGTGCACATGTCTATCTTTATTCAGTGACAGAACGAGTAATGCTGAAAACTTTCAGCAGCCAACAAACATTATAGAATTCCTGCGGAAGACAAATATATACTATAAAGGAAATTTTAAAAAAATGTTAAACGTTTTCTACAGGTATTTGGACGTATGTTTATATATCTAAATTTTAATATTTTTTTAACCATGTACAACCAAAAGAAAAAAAAGTGCTACCTTATTGACTTTGTTTTAAAATATATATATATTTAAGGCTATTATTTATATTCATATTTTTCAGGAAGAAAAACGATATTTATATTTGAATTATATATTTAAAGTTAAATCTTTAAACGGGTACATACACTAAATTCTTGAAATCATTTTAGCATTTAAAAACTTTGCTACCTAACAAACTTTATTTTCAAATTTATGAATAAACACTACTTGGGTTGACAGGTCATAAAACCCAGACAAAAAAAAAAGCAAAAATAACTAAAAATATTACGACAAAATTTAAAAAAAAATACTCCAAAAATTAATTTTATTTATTATCAAATAATTCAATTTAATTTTACAATTAGTCGATATTTCTGGTAGGGTTTTAAAATTGTTGTTTTTTTTTTTTCTTTTAAATAGTTTGATTGTTAATCTATCCCCTCAGTGTTACGGATTGTCCAAACTTAATGGGAATGGAATGTGTTATTCTCATTTATTTGAAACTCAGTCAAAATGTATGTACAGACAAACCTCCCATCTACGGACCCCCACCCCATAAACAGACTTTGGGTGTAACGGACAAAACCTACAGGAAAAAAAAAATCTGCAGGAAAAAAACAAAAAACTCCCAAATCATCAGCGATGTATTTCATAATTTGCAGGCTTAGCAGAACGAATTGTATTAGTTCTCAAAGTGACCGTTTGGCGGCGGTGGCAGACCTTTCAATTGTAAACAAAGACGGGTGTACAGTATATAAAGTACGGTACATTAGAGCGTATATGAGAAAGTAGCTGTGAGAAATGTATTATTTTTGTTATTTTCATTAATATATCTATATTAATTATATATATATCTGTGCCATATATAAATGTTTATAGTATTTACATTATGATCATAACTACTAGTAGTTACTATAGTGGTTTTATAACTCAAAAATAATCCCTCCAGATCTACGGACAATCGGCTTTAACGGATCACCCTTCCTCCAATTATTCCGTTGATGTGAGGTTTGTCTTTATATGTATGTGGGCGTGCGTGCATACAGTGAATGGATTTACGAATATACATCACATACGCGAAGTCACGCGCAAACATGTGATCAGCCTGGTGCGCTTTCGATCAGGTCTCAGAAGACGTAGCACCCACCGATCAGAAAACTTCGTCGTTGTTCATTGGGCCCCATATCCTGAACTTTCCCTCGGGATATGTCTTAATCGCATTGGTTATTTAGTTTATAGTCAATCACCTGTCATACATCAACATATGATGAACACGATCAATGTTTTCATCAATAATAGTAGTTGTTACAGTACGTTCAGATTTTGGTTCATTTTCAAATCTCTCCCTTTCTCTCCTAATTTTAGCTGCCCACATTTCCACTGGTGATGAAGCTAAAGCCTTATCCCCTGATGTAGCAAACATGCTAACATGAATGTCTCCTGAGGCTATACCATTTTTCTGCTGATACATGATAATACCACGGTGTCAAATTTTGTCCATATTCAAGAGAAGTCGCTACAAGTTACTTAGGAAATCTTCTTTGAACAGTCCGTCATAGTCAGCCTATGAACTTTTCAGCCCATCCACTTACTTGGAAAGAAACAATGCAGTAATTAATAAAAAAAAGGAGTGGAAATTTATGCATGCAAGATTTCGCAGTTCTACCATCACTCCTTAATAGTCAGCCTATGAACTTTTCAGCCCATCCTCTTACTTGGAAAGAAATAATGCAGTAATTAATAAAAGCAAAAGAGTTGAAATTTATGCATGCAAGATTTCGCAGTTCTACCATCACTCCTTAATAGTCAGCCTATGAACTTTTCAGCCCATCCTCTTACTTGGAAAGAAATAATGCAGTAATTAATAAAAGCAAAAGAGTTGAAATTTATGCATGCAAGATTTCGCAGTTCTACCATCACTCCTTAATAGTCAGCCTATGAACTTTTCAGCCCATCCTCTTACTTGGAAAGAAATAATGCAGTAATTAATAAAAGCAAAAGAGTTGAAATTTATGCATGCAAGATTTCGCAGTTCTACCATCACTCCTTAATAGTCAGCCTATGAACTTTTCAGCCCATCCTCTTACTTGGAAAGAAATAATGCAGTAATTAATAAAAGCAAAAGAGTTGAAATTTATGCATGCAAGATTTCGCAGTTCTACCATCACTCCTTAATAGTCAGCCTATGAACTTTTTCAGCCCATCCTCTTACTTGGAAAGAAATAATGCAGTAATTAATAAAAGCAAAAGAGTTGAAATTTATGCATGCAAGATTTCGCAGTTCTACCATCACTCCTTAATAGTCAGCCTATGAACTTTTCAGCCCATCCTCTTACTTGGAAAGAAATAATGCAGTAATTAATAAAAGCAAAAGAGTTGAAATTTATGCATGCAAGATTTCGCAGTTCTACCATCACACCCTTAATAGTCAGCCTATGAACTTTTCAGCCCATCCTCTTACTTGGAAAGAAATAATGCAGTAATTAATAAAAGCAAAAGAGTTGAAATTTATGCATGCAAGATTTCGCAGTTCTACCATCACTCCTTAATAGTCAGCCTATGAACTTTTCAGTCCACCCTCGTAAGTAATAATCACAAAACGAAATGGTCCCTCTAATGTTGAACAATTCCCACTCCTAAATGATAAGACTGACATTTATGTTATAATGATAAATAAATAACACTGAACGCCATTTTGATTCTATTTCGTTTGCAAAATATGAACATTCACATTACTCCTACGGAATCAAAACTTGGATCCATCCATTATGCAATCGATTTAAATGTGAATATTTCTATTATACTGTTCGGTAGAATTATAATACTTACATCTCCTCGACTATCAACATGTGAATATTCTCATTATGTCAATTCTCATGATGCGAATTTCCATCTCGCTTGAAAAACCCAACTATCAAATTTTATTACCGGAGACATCAAGATGCAAATAAAGCCAATAATTTGACTTCGTCTATAAATGACGGAACGAAATGAGAAGACTCTAATTTCCAATTGCCAAAGTATCCCCCCCTGCTTTAAGTGAAATTGCGGAATCAACTCTAAAAATACTACGAAAATCCAATTAATTTGGTTTCATTTTGAATGAAGAACTTTTCTTTTCATCTTTTGCCTGGTTTATAAACCCGCTATGAACTTTGATTAAATCGGAATCATTTAGACCAAATTTAGACGTTCGTATCTTGAAGTCGATTTCGCGGGTGTGTGGGGGAGTGGCTGTTTGCAGTGACAGATTCATTTTCAATGAATGGAGTCCAGAGAAGAGGGCGAGGTCGAAAGAAACATGGTAGAGTATTCCGATGGGCTCTGCGAGATCAACGAACCAAAACATTTTCCCCTTTAATTATACGTAATTATTTCGAATAAAATTACCGTGAATTTCCTCAAAGCGTGCTCGTATTTGAGTGAATCGGTCGGTAATATATATAGAAATATTTATTGAATGTAATCGCAGATGAAACTAATTACAAAGAACGAACGCAAACAATAAATTTGATATTTGAAAATTCATTGATATTTCATTTGATGTCTAAGCGTAAAATATCTATCTGTGATCGTATGTAACCACTCAGCGATATATATATATATATATATATATATATATATATATATATATATATATATATATATATATCACTGGCCAATCTAAGTCATTAATGTTTGTCGGGCTCATTACAGTCTTTAACAAAATATAATATTGGCATAGCTTAGATGCTAAAATGTTTCCTTTACTCAAGTTATAATATATAATTTTTAAAAAAATCTTTGTGCAGGAAATTAAAAAACACATTTAATATTAATTGTAATAATTCGATAAAAATAAATATTTATTATAAAAAGAATTCCACACATGTAAGAAAAAGAGTGAGGGCAACGTTTTTATATGTTTGTCTGTTTATTGATCCCTTTACATTTTTATTGTTTTATAGCCTGGTTATCAAGTCATTGATGATAGAGATAGAAATAGTTGACTGATATCATATTTCCTCAACACTATTCTAGTCACTCTCCGCACCCCAAACCTCCAGTCGACGAGTTAAGACTGCTACTTTCTTTGTTTTTCGCCAATTTTATGTCGGCTGCATTTAATTAGCCCTTATCAATTGATACATTTCGCTAAACAATCTTATACTGTACGGAATAAATTATTTAAAATGGACATTTAAAACAATAAATTGAAATAAAAACGTTTTCTTTGAAAAATAGGGCATACATGTCATTAGAGATTTTTAAAAGATTATTTCATAAAATTAAAGCAAGAAATACATTGCCTATTAAGTATATATCCCGGAGTCGCCACTGATAGATAGATAGATAGATAGATAGATAGATAGATAGATAGATAGATAGATAGAGGCCAATATGAAATATCTAGTCTCTTGCAAAAATTCACAGTTTCTGGAAAAATTAGTAGAATATGAATATATTATGTAGTATCTATCTGTCGTTCTGGCCTAGCACATAGGAGACCTTCTGATAAAATTCTTTGTTTAGGTATTTACCAGTATCCCGACAGCGACGTGATGTAACAGAAGGTCGGCTTTAATGTGAGGCCCCCGAGCGCGTACAACCGGGCCAGGGTCAAAAATTGCCCAGCCTCTGAAACTATCGGTTGTACTGACATCAATATTACTACCGATTCCCTATCTCTAGTGCAGTGAAGGTGGTACTGCAGCGGGCAGCTGTTCCCTGGGACCGGGCACCTCTCAGTATTTTTTCCCAGTTGCGGTCTGTCCGCGGACAGAGAAACAACTGTTGCACTCTACCCGAAAACAGAAACGCAACTGGTATTTACTCGTCTCCCAAAGAAGACAAGATATGACACAAGGTGGGTTTCATGTGGGACACCCGAGCACGTATACTTGAGTCAGGGCCAAAAATTGTCCAGCCCCCGAAGCTATCGATTGCGCTGGCATCGGTATTGCTACCGATCGCTCATCTTTAGTGCAGTTACGGTGTACTACCGCCGGTAGATGTTCCCCGCTATCGGAAACGTCTCAATATTTTCTTAGCTGCTCTGTCTGCAGACAATGATGCAACTGAGAGATGATATCCGATTAGCTGTATTTATTATTCATTTTGTTTTGTTTAGTTAAATTATTTCAATTCTAAAATCTAAACAGGAAGCAACTTTTTCAAAGATTAAATGTGTTTTTGCGAATTTTTATATCATGACGTATTTCGTTTTTATTATTATTTTTTATTTATTTTAAACATTTTAAGATGTGATTCACTGAAACAAAGTGTAAAATAGAAGCAAATATAAGTTTAAAACTTAAAGGAGTGTCTTCTTTTTAATTGTTAATTTAACTTAATTTTTTTTTTCATTTTGCTTTTTTTTTTCATTGTCATCAAAATTTTAAAGTAGGCCATATATCGTTTTGATTTTATAGTGACTATAAAACGAAGCCCAGTTTCTTGTATTGGGTCGGGTTTATCATCTCTCAGTTGAGTCTTTGTCATCGAGCAGAGTGCGACTCAATTGTGGATCTGTCTGCGGACAGAGACACAGCCGAGAAAAATAAATACTGGGAGGTCCCCGGTCCCATGAAAAGGTGCTCGAGGCTACAACCCCATTGCACTAAAGTGAGGGCGATTGGTAGTCACAGCGATGCCAGCGCAACCGACGGTCTCGGCAGCTGGGCAATTTTGGTACCTGTCCCGAATGTACGCGGTCGGATTCCCCACATTAAACCCGACCTTGTACCATATCGCGTTTGTGGAGAGACATAGGTAAATAATCATTGGCAGTATGACCAATAAAAATACGCGCATTTCTTTTGATGTATCCGATTGTAACCCTATGATTTGTACGTTTCTTTTTATTAAACAAATATTTTCTACAGTTAGTATTAATACAGATCTCAAGAAAAATATTTCCTATTTAGTATTAAGTTCGAGAAATCTGGAGTCAGATAAACTGTATATCATCAAAGAATTACTGAATGTTCTTTTTTTCCCCTAATTGATTAAAAGTGTGGATAAAATAGGAATTTTCTGGTCAATATTCGAATATATAATGCGTGCGTGAGCGTGGAAAGTATACAGTCTATCAAATCAACTGTTGTAAATTAAACCTTTATTAAATAAAAAGATGAAGTGGAACATATTTATTTACTGTCTTTTTAAAATTCTTTTTCCCCTTTTGCTATTACTTTTTAAAAGTTTAATTGAATATAAGAGACGGTCTTTTTAATCCCATCTCTTGCATTAAATCTACCTTAATCTAACTTTTACAAATAGCAAAACGCATTGAACAATCCATGAATAAATTGCATTTTCGTTCCAATGCAAGTATTTTTCTCCTTCCGATGAAAGAAAGATATCATCAAGGCAGCCTGATAGATTGAAGGATGCTCTCCTCTGACTCTCCCCTGACTCTCCTCAATGAATGGGTCTTATACATGAAGTATATGATTTCAATAGAAAAGTTTATGGATGAAAGGTGGACAGATTCAATCTTTACACATCTCAAAGCAATTCCATCTTGCAGAATAGTAAATAATAATATAAAAAAAAAGAAGTAAGATTTTTTTTAAATGGTTTCTCGGGGTCTTTTTTTCTACTTGTTCCCACGTTCGTCTAAATCAATGCGTATTTCAAGAGAAACATTGACAGATTTTTTTAAAAGACTCAAAACAATTCTTTAAAACTCGTCGTGGAGAGTCCAAGAAGTCTAAACACTTCCCAATTTAGTTTTCGCTCAATGACTACATTGGTGGGTGGATGACATGGGGCGGTGTCTATAATAGAACTCTGTTAAGTGAATCGAACACATGCGGCCATACAGATAAGTCGAACAAATTGTTTCTGGAATGTTACGCTCCCGTTTTTGCCGTAGGAAAGAAGCCTTTTAAATGACGGGCCAATAAATGGATGAAGTTGTAAACTAACTCTTCGGGCGGACTGCTATTGATTTTGCCACGATTCGAAGCGAAGGAAATTTGCCAAGCACGGTGGAAAGTTCAAACGAACAGCGAATGAGATGTTTGGTTAGTTTTGCAAAGACCCACCTCATCGATGCTGAGAACTCTTCCATTTTTTTTTATTCTTTTCTTTTCAGTTTTTTTTTTTCTTCTGTCACCCTCTTCCGACCGAAACTTAGATTCAATGAAAACGTATCTTTGGAAGAAATTGTTCGAACAGAGAGTATATTTTCAGAGTGAGTTTAGAACGACCATTGAAATCAACTGCAAAAGAAACCTTTTAAAGTGTAAACGGAAATGGCATGAAATTCTCGCAAAAAAATAGAGCATATCTATCGGCGGCGACAAGATAGTCATTAAATACATGGAAGCGACGTAAATAGACAAAATATTGTATTTTATATATTACAGTTGACTGAAAAGAAAATTATATTTTTCTTATTGTTATGGAAGACAGCAAAAAATCAAAAAATCAATCAATCAATACACGCTTGAGAAGATTTATTGATCTCTCTTTTGTTAAGTACAAGTTTGGCATCGAATGGTAGAAACAGCTTTTTCAGATTTTGATCATTACTGGGCCTAAAGTTATCGAACTTGTAAAAAATTGCACGGTGTTCTGCCATCATCTGTTCCTTAGCGATGTAAGAATATAAACTCAATTACATTTCAAAGATGATGACATTATCTATGTGAAAATTCTTATAGTTAGTTTCTAGATTTGATGAGAATTCTGGCGCCTTCATGCTTCCATTTCAGATGGATTTTGCCTTATCCATTTTGATGCTGTTGTTATTATTAGAAGAAAAACTGATTAGCGGTTAAGATTGGAACAGTGATTCTGATTCAGTGCTATCATTTTTTTTAAGTGAGCCGACAAATTGACACTCAAACTGACACTTGGAACCAGAACGAATCGTACAGTTGCGGCTTAACTTCAGTAGTCTTCTTGATGAGCGCTGTTAATTTAAATGGGGAAGAATAGACCACATTAACCAAATGTACACAAACAGACGGGCACAAAAACACATAGATAGATAGATAGATAGATAGATAGAAAGTTTAGAACGATAGATAGAAAATTTAGAACGATAGATAGATAGATAGATAGATAGATAGATAGATTAGAACGATAGATAGAAAGTTTAGAACGATAGATAGATAGATAGATAGATAGATAGATAGATAGAAAGTTTAGAACGATAGATAGAAAGTTTAGAACGATAGATAGATAGATAGATAGATAGATAGAAAGTTTAGATAGATAGTTTAGATAGATACATAGATAGATAGATAGAAAGTTTAGAACGATAGATAGAAAGTTTAGAACGATAGATAGATAGATACAGAGATACATAGATAGATAGAAAGTTTAGATAGATAGATAGATAGATAGAAAGTTTAGAACGATAGATAGAAAGTTTAGAACGATAGATAGATAGATAGATAGAAAGTTTAGAACGATAGATAGATAGATAGATAGATAGATAGATAGATAGATAGAAAGTTTAGATGGATAGATAGATAGATAGGAAGTTTACAACGATAGATAGAAAGTTTAGAACAATAGATAGATAGATAGATAGTTTAAAACGATAGATAGAAAGTTTAGATAGATAGATAGATAGATAGATAGATAGATAGATAGAAAGTTTAGAACGATAGATAGATAGATAGATAGATAGATAGATAGATAGATAGATAGATAGAAAGTTTAGAACGATAGATAGATAGATAGATAGACAGATAGATAGTTTAGAACGATTTAGAACGATAGATAGATAGATAGATAGATAGATAGATAGATAGATAGATAGATAGATAGATAGATAGATAGATTCCCCGTCTAATAACAGCTTACTGATAACTCTTACGTACGAACAGACTTCCGTCTTCTTCTTTTTCTATGTGCCATGTTCCTTTAGGCTATGGACGATCACGGATCTCTACAACTTCCTCTCATTTTTAGTTCTTAGCAATGTTCGTTTTTTCTTTGTTTTTGTTTCTTTTTTCTATATTTCTGTTAATCCCTGTTCTGGCAACCATTTACACAGGCTCGTTAGTAAAATGAGTCTAACATTTTCTAAGACGTATTTTATTATGTACATTCGAAATTTCAACTCTCTTTTTTTTTCTTCTTTTTTTTTTTTTTTGTCTACTGCTAAGTATGCGATGTCCTTCTCATTTCTATTTCCCTTAAAATTTCGTCGTAACTCATATTTTCATTTCATTGTATTCTCAGCATACATCGAGATACCCTGAATACCAGAATCTCAAATCGCAAGGACAGAAAATTTGGGAGAATATTTGCTGTACGCAATAAAGCAAGTTTTCCTAACAAGCTCCCTTTGTACAAAGATTTTTTTTTTTTCATTTTTTGTAGTTTTATTTTATTTTATTTTTATACATATATGCAATTTTTTATACATGTATGCAATTTTTTAAACATGTATGCGATTCTTAAACATAAATATAAGAATGTAGACATATTTGAACATTGTTAAACACTTTTTAATGTTGGAAGAGATAAGTCAATTATTTTGTTTGTTGTTATTATTATTATTATTATTATTATTATTATTATTCCTGGCTATGACGATAAACTACATCCGGCAGCACGGCCTCTGATCGGGTGATTGGAGGTTTTGAGGAGCGTGGACCCACCTCTTAATTTTTGTTGTTCCCAGGCTCACCCTGATCTGGGGTGGTAGCACCTGTTAGGGTCCCAGCTATGGGTAAATAATGAATCCCCAAACAAAAACAAACACTATAAAAGTATGAAAATACATTTTTTATTGTAAAATTATCAATAATGCATATTTATAACAAAATGATTCGCAATACATTTTATAGTAGACTCGTCAAGAATACATTTTATCGGTAGGTGAAGGCATGCAATTGCGTTCAAAATATATTTAGTTGAAGTTGTAAAACTACATTCAAAATAATAACACATTGATGTTTATATGCTGGTAAACAAAATCAACCAACATGTTATTAATATTTCCTCTGATTTCTGTCGTATACTCATTTTTAGACTTTAGTTCAGAAATTGAATCATGACATTTTCACAGAACATTTTTGAAAAAATAAATAAATAAATAAAAGTACCTAAGATCAAACACATTTTATATTGATAATGCCCGTCGTTATGTGTGAGCTACACTTGTGAGGACATTTTTTTTTGTATTTCTTCAAGGCATGGGTTACTAGAGATCCCTTTAAGGAGTCTACTAGAACCTTTTCCAGTCAAACCTCAACAAAAACAGGAAATATTGATGTCTTTTATTATTATTATTATTATTATTATTATTATTTTCTTTGATTTATAGTGTTTACACATTTCTTTCCGGGTCCCGCTCAGGGACCTAAGGTTAGAAATGGCATCATGACACTTTCCACTGAGAAAAAAAAAAATTACATAGATAAAGCCCTTCGTAAAGTGTGAGCTGTACTTGTCAGAACAAATTTTTTGTATCTCTTTGAGGCATGGACTTCCAGGAATCCCTTCAGTTAGTCTACTGCAATCTTTTCCAACCAGTCCTAGGGCTCCAACTACAACAGGGATTGTTGATGTTACCATATGCCACATTTTCGAGATTTCTATTTCAAGGTCCTTGTATTTTGACAGTTTTTTGAATATCTTCAAAGATACATTGCAGTCAGCAGGGACTGCCATATCAATAAGGAGGCAGCATTTTTGTTTGTGGTCTTTAATAACAATATCTGGGCGGTTGGTCTTGATTGTGCTGTCAGTGTGTATTGTGTAGTCCCATAGAATTGTAACAGGTCCAATCTCCGTAACCGGGTCTGGGTGGTGTTCATACCATTTCCTTTCAGTTTCTTCTTATTATTATTTCTATTTTTGTTTACTAAAATCCCTTGCCGTGCCAGATAAGCCAAGGTAGCAAATATATACATTGTGTTTCCACAAAATCCGTACAGTCTATATTTGCTTCCTTTTATGTACTTCGATATGGTGTAATTGTGAGCAAGCTAGTTTCGCTAGATCATTTTTTTACAATGATGTTCACCCTGTACAAGGCTTGGGAGCCACTCTAGGTAAAGTGTTACAGAATAAGAGGCATAGTTAGGTGGGCAAGATAGCGGCTAACTCTAGAAAAGTTAAGATTAAACAAGTTAAGATTACGGTGACAGGGGAAACACCACCTCGGGAGTTGGTTCCACAGAATAGAGAAGAAATTACTTCTCACCAATGGAATACGGAGGGAATGCTGGGAGACGATACAACTGAGGAATGTAGCTCGTATGAGAATTTTCCATGGAAGTAGCAGTGAGTGGCTTGATACATCTCGTCTACGAGAGAGGAGTTGCTGGGTGGGAAATAATTTGTCACTCACAAGGACGCGGAGACGATTTTGAACTCTATCGAGACTGGAAAGTGAGGAGTAGGAAGTACCACTGAATAGTGAGTTCGATCCTATCCGAAAGCTGCCTACTTTCGGCTTTGTGCCTCATCTAATCTGCACTTAGTAAATAACTATATTTTCAACGTGTTGATAATAATCTTCTGACAAGATGAGTAGTACCATTTTGTTCAATGTTCTAATCTTTCGTAAACAAGAGATCTTTTTAATGTACATTTTTATCGCGGTCTTTTATCTCTCTGATCCACTACCTTCTCCATTTGTGAATATGAATGGTAAAGTTTTTTTTTGTTTTTTTTAAGTGTTTCACCCCAAGCAAGGCGGGAAGCCACTAGGACGCAAGGAATTACAGAAAATTTGGAGCAAGATCAGATAGGAGTGATAGAAGAAAGGATGAGGAGAAGGGTAGTGGATAGATCAAGGCAACTGGAGATGTCGATTGACATTACACTTGAATAGCTGGAGATTATAGCTCTCAGGGAAACTGGAATAGGGAAGGGAGTTCCATAGGCGAGAGGTGCGAGGCATGAAGCTATTGGAGTAGAAGAGACGGCTACATTTAAAAGTTTCGACAGTGAAAGTGTGAGAGCGGGATGCCAGACTTGTAGGGCGCTTGAACTCATGAAGTCTGGGAACCAGCGAATGCAGCTCCTCGGAGCAATTGCCATGAAAGTATTTGTAGAACAGACAGACAGAGGCGACGGCGCGTCTGTGAGAAAGCGACTGTAGACGAGGTGCCAGAGCAGGGCCAATTATATTGCATATCCGCTTCTGGAGCCTGTCAAGAACCCCGTGGCAAACAGAAGGGGCACCAGACCATATATGGCAGCAATCACGACTTTCTATTACTGGTTCAAGGTAATGTTGGTACCATATTTCTACATATGGCGCACAATATTATTATTCTTCTATGTGCCGTCTCCTTTCAGCAATCATGGCTCTCCACAACTTCCTGTCCGATATAGCTCTTAATAAATTTTCTCTTTTTGTTATCTTTCCTAAATCGGCTTTTGCTATCCATTTACACTATTTTGCTAGGTCGATTGTGCGTTGTTTTCCTCTGTCCTTCTTGTATTTTAGTTTGTCCTTTGTGTATTAAATTTTCCAAGCACTCTTTCCTCGTTATGTACCTTAGAAATGTCAGCTTTCTCGCCCTGATGTTATATTTAACATCCTTTTTGTTTGCATTTTCTCTAAAACTTGATCGTTGCTCACATGCATACCCGTTGCCTCAAGAAAGGAAATCAGGGGTAAATATCCTTTTTTATTATTTGAGCTGTATATCAACGTTGAAGTATTTATCTATTATTATTACATAATATCTTATATTATATATTATTTATTTATTTACTTATATTATATATAGGTGTTTCTTAATTGGTTTATATGCAAATGTGAAATATATACTATATATATATATATATATATATATATACAAAAAACACAAAAATATATATATATATATATATATATATATATATATATATATATATATATATATATATATAGTTGATAAATGTGAGTTTAGACCCTGGGTTTCACGCTTTAGCGATCGTTTGTCTGACGATCGCTAAAGCGTGAAACCCAGGGTCACAATCTCACATCTATCCAACCAAATATGTTAGCTCTATCTCTGATATTGAGCGCTTTCTAAAAAGTACCGCACATATAATATATAAAAATTATATATATATATATATATATATATATATATATATATATATATATATATATATATATATATACACACACACTTTTTCACACACACACACATATATATATATATATATTGTCATCCACAGACAGACTGTTTCGGTGCATCACAGCTCATCAGTGTGGCTAGACGCCCGGCTGTCTCTAGCTAGGATCGTAACCCGACTGATTTGGCGTCGCTCGATGATTCTACCACTAAGCCGTTGTCGCACGGCAGGGATGAAGGTGAATTTAGGCGTATTATATATATATATAT